AGAGGACTGTGTCTGATTTGTGAATGTCTTTAAATGACTTCATATCACACAGTGAGGGTCCGTTCAACCTGTTTCTGTCACTTACAAAGACCAGCCAGTATCAGAGACCAACACAAAGAGCAGGACTTACTTAAACGAGGTTGCGAAGATGTGTGAGTCTGGGTAGACTAGAGAAACAAATTTATAGCACTCATGTGTATATAAGGAAGAGTTCCATATACAAGAGCAATTGAATATTGAGAAAACATCCCAGCCCAGGAGAGATCAAGTCCATAAGTCCGATCCCAATCGATAAAGTCCTCTTCAGACTCACAAAACACAAGCAATGATGCCAAATGCAGGAAGATGACAGGCTAGTGGGTGCAAAGTATTTTGGATCCAGTGGCAGTAGAAGCATCTCAGCACTGGCAGGGGCCTCCACGTGGCTTCTCTGGCTCCAGAGGTCTGGCTCTATCAGCCTCTCTTCATGTGTCTTCTCCACAGGGACATCTCACAGGGAGTGAGCAGAGAGAGTGTATCTCCTACCTCCAAGGAGGAAATACAGGAGTTCCCAGAATCCTCAGGAGAAGGCTATGCCCACACAGAGGCCTCATTGGCTATATCCTCCTGATTGACAGGCTAGACTCCACCCCTTCAACTCTTAATCCTCAAATTGACACCAGATTATGTAACTACCACAGAAGGTTAAACATGTAGATGGAAGAACATGTTCAATGAATATGCAGTAGGGGTGGGGGGTGGGACCTCCCATTGAGGAGCTACAAGAAAGAGGTTTTTTAATTTTTTTTTAATGTGATTGGAACATAAACCATGTGCGGGATAAAGTAAATATGAGACTAGAGATGTAGGCAAGAATCTAATAATGAACATCTAAGGAAGATGATATGAATATTGGGAACTTTGGACTGATGGCAAAGCGGGACTCTGAAAGGTGGACAGCGGTGTGCTGGGACCTCCGAACGTGGACGTGGGATTGTGGGTGTCCCTGAGATACAAAGCAGGGGGCAGAGACTGGAGACTGTATTAAAAGTCAAGAAGAGCCATTATCCGGGTATTAGCTAATGTAGCTGGGATGGGTATGTTCCCGAGAAAGAAATTATTTAAAATAAGGGATCAAAAACTGCCCCTCCCAAGACATAAAATCTATTATCTTGTCACGAGTGAATCCCAGTCTTCAAATCCCTGTCTTCTGATTTCCTTATCTGCATATTAATTTTTAAAATTAATTTTTAAATGCCCCGTCTGTGAAAATGTGTCGCAAATGCCAGAGTCCCACTTCAGCGACTTAACAGTATAAAGGGAGTATTCTGTCTCAAGTGCATGAAAGGCCAAGAGGTGGAAATGACTTTATTCAAGACTCACCCATAGGCTCCCACGATGGTGGTGATGTCACACAGCTTTATTAGGACTCCGTGTGTTTATCCTGCCTCCCATCGTAGCGTTGGCTTTAGCCTCAGGTACTGTACAGTCAAAGTGACAAGCCCCATCATCTCATGAGAGCCTCTCCTGACACTTCCCAAGTGAAGAGACTCTTCACAAGTTGTCCTATTGGCTTGACTGTAAATGTCCAGAAGATTTTAAAGAACTAAGAACCTAAAAGAAAGTGCATCATTGTAGCAAGCTATTTGGATGATAACTCTGAATGAACGGGCATTTATCAGCTCTGCCTCTGGGGTTAACAAAAAGATTGGAAAGGCCCCAGCTTGCTATAAGTATCAGAAATGGACAGGCAGGGAGGTGAATGGATCTGGGAAACAAGACAAAGATATCAACGAAGAGAGCCCATGTGAATCCTGAGTGCATGATGGGGGAGGGGACCCCCACATTTTCTACCAAGACTTCTCTGTTTCTCTTTGTGATAGCTGTCTAGTTAAATTTCACCCACATGTTTGTGAGAAAATCCTTGGGGGGGGGGCAAGAAATCAACCTAATCCATCTCCCTACATCTAGCCTCCTGTAGTTTCTGACCACATGGGCTTGGCGATTTTTGTTGGCTTGTTAAAGGGATAGGTACATGGATGCAAATCACTATCGAGTGCAGTCTCGGGCTTAAAAGAGAACCAAAAAAGAAGAAAGGAGAGGCCGTCAATGTTTATAGGGGAGTGAAGGGAATGAGGAGGACCCACTCCTAGAAGTGCATGACCCACAGTCGATGGACTGTTTACCTTGTGAGTGAGTGAGTGAGTGAGTGAGTGAGACAGGCCATCCTATCCCTCCCCCGGATCAATGACTTTTAGATGGGGCGTACGTCCAGAATTCTATAAGTGATAGGCTCCTCGTGAATTCTGCACGTCTTTCTCCGACCCAGGTGCAGCCTTTGTGAAGGAGAACTACTGACAACTCCAAGCCAGGATGGGAGACCTGGGTGGAGTGCTGGATGATCTTTAGGACAACATGGTCTTCACTGAGGACGAGAAGGAGCTGGTGGAACAGGCACCCACCCAGCGGAAGAGGAACAACGTGCTGCTGAAACTGGTGGACAAGAAAGGAGAGCAGGCGCTGGACTTGCTCTACAAGAGCCTCAATGAAAGGGACCCTTACCTTGTGTCTTACCTCAGGCAGCCCAGTTTGTTCCCATGACTCAGACAGATACTCAGCTGGGAAGGATTCAGCTTGCCCAAAGACAGGTTGAGCCATTTTCCCCAGCTCTTAGTCAGCAACCTCTAATTCCTTGAAAGTTCTGTTTGACAATGTTCTGCTTGATAGTCCAGGATAACGATATGATTTATGATGGAGTCACAGGCTGTGTAGTATCTTCTTGGCTTCTAGAGGGCCTGGAGACTTAGATCAATCATGTAGGCAATCCAAAACTGTACCAAATGCACTGCCATTAAGCCATCGGGGTAGAACTGCCCCTGTGAGTTTCCAAGACCATAACTGTTTACGGGAATAGAAAGCCCCATTTTTCTCCCAAAGACTGTCTGGTAGTTTCGAACTTCATACCTTGTGGATTACAGCCCAGTGAGTAATCATTATGCTACCAGGGCTCCCTGTAGGTGATCTGTATTGAATATATGACTGATCCCAATAAGGACTCTGAGCATCAAGTTTCATGTGAGCTTCCATGGTTGGCAATACTCCATACCTGTTGCCACATATGGTTACTGGAAGAAATAATTACTTCCTGCATGATTACTACATTGGGAGAGGGCACCTGGACAGTATATACTTGGAACTCTCCTGGTCCCTGTCCTGCTTTATACATTTTTTTCTGTTTCTGATTTTAATCTATATCCTTTTGCTAGAATAGACTAAAATTGTGAGTACAGTGAACCCTCGCCACTTCGCGCTTCGACTTCCAGCCTGACTCTATCGCGGGTTTTTGTGTAACAGCGCATGCTCTGTCATCACTGCCACTGATTGGCTCATACTGTACACGCTTCTGTCTGCATCGCTACGTAT